TCCTTTTGTAGTGTACATGTATTCCATCATGGGATTTTTTTAGGGCACTACAAAGTGGATACATTGACACAAATACTCAAATAAAATAGGGAGTTATTCAACTCAAAACTTCTAACTTGTGTTGGTTAGCTAGTTGGTGTTAGCTTTCACTACTGTTAAAATAATTTCATTAACTCAGTCAAAATTTGAATTAGTGTGAAGCTTTACTCTTTTTTGATCCAACTGATTTGAGGTTCAAGGAAAAGTAAAGTTGTATTAACATTTGAATTATTTAACTAATTCTATTTTTGACTTATCTGGTAATTTTCGACTGCCTTTGGGGCCTCCACACTATCCATCCCAGACTAGATTAAATTCACATTATGTGCAACATATCACAACGTATCAAAGACCCAGATGTGCGATTGTGTTAGAGCATTAGAGATCTTTTTTGAGATTGCAACACAAGCCCTGTAAAAAAAAACTGCCGACTATGAGCTGCTGCGGGTGTACAGTAAAAATGAAAAGTACTGGTCATTATAGCACTTACTCAGCTTTGATTAAGATAACTGGCACGAACAAAAGCCATTACCTGCACCAAAAATAAATCCTAAAATGAGAGCAAAATCTGATTTGGTAACCAAGAAATTCAGTGTCTCCGGCTCTAATTCCTCTTTCTCATGAGACCGACCTTTCCATAATTTCATAACGACTCGGGCAAGGTTTTGCCAACATGGGAAAGAGGAAGGATGCAGTGAGGGCTTTCGGTTTGCTATTCTGACTTACAGCTAGCCTCAGGTTGGTCAAACTTCTAACCATGATTTTCGTCTTTGGGTCTCTGTAATTGCAGCCAACACTCAGCCAGGAGGTCCGGCTTCAGTCCTTCCATTCACAAAGCTCTAAGTGCCTCTTAGTGGCATTTGGATATTAAAACGTTAAATCTGAACCACCGTCACTTCCCAGCTAAAACGCTCTATCTTTAGCTCCTTCTTTCCACTCTTCCCTGCTGGCATGGGCACATCAACCTGCAATTACTTTCTCCCTCCCCCCTCAAATCCCTGGGATTAAATGGAGACAACACTGACACGAACAACTGAAAAATACAAAGCGAGGCATAAAAAAAATAGACTACACAGAAGGAGATGTATATTGTATATCGCTGCCAGAAACAAATCGGTGATTTTGAAATTAGTTGGTTTACGGTATCAATTTAGAGATTGAATGGCAATACTTAAAAATCACAATACATATCGAATTGGCATCTAAGTATCCTGATAGTTTGTTTGTTTGTTTATTTATTTATTTTTCAGGGACAATGCACACCAATCAACAGTTGCACTGTAAGTGAGCCAGAGTTAGCCAGAGAGGCTAATTTCCATCTGCTAATTTCCATCTGCTGTGAATCAAGAGTTAAGCATATCGTCCTAACTGTATTATGTCCTGCTCAGTATATACCTTGGTCAAATTTCAATAACAAGGACCTAATTTAAAGTTCAACTCTTTAGTTCCACTTAGCTCTAAAGAGCTTTTTTAGCATCTTTCAGCTACTTGTTTTTGCTTCCGTCCCTGCATTCTCATCAATCTCGTTTCCAGACTCAGCAGGCAGCTGTTTCCAGTCAAAACGCTCTAATAATCCCACTGTACACTACCTGCCCAGCAAGAAACAGCAGACAAACTTAGTGGCTTGCTGGTGACTATAGTGGAACAGTTTAGCAGCGAAAGTGCAAGATTCAGGAGCTGGACAACATTTTTTAAAAAGGCAAAAGACACACAGACGAGCGCAACTTCATTCTCTGCTCAGGTAGACATTACTCCACTATGTCTTTACGAAGCAAATAATCGTTTGCTACTATATGGTATATGGTGATGAGGGGAGGTATGAAAAAAAGTATTGTTTTGGTACCAGAACTCAGGTACCAAATAATCACTAGTCAAATGATCAAATTACCAGTCCCAGTCAAAGAAGAACAAAATAACTAATGTTACTTACTAACAACAACTTTAACATATATTTTTAAATGCATTTAAGTTCAGAAAAAAAAGAAGAAGTGTAAACCAGAAAATGAAAGGTCACGTTTGATCCTCTCTCCATGGACAACCATGGTGCAAAAAATATTTTTTTTAATCAGAATTTAGACACAAATGTGACTTAGGTGTATGCATTGTTTTCTGGATAATGTGGAAAACAGAGGCTGTGCATGTGGGGGGACAACCCCTGTCATCAGCAGAGTTAATTAAAGCCACTGAAGGGGCATTAAGTCACGTCTGGCGTGCAGCAGCAGCATGTTAAGATGTTTGGAGGGGCAAAACAATGGTTAGAGCAGACCCTCCCCAGAAATACCACCCACGCTGCTGTCAGGAGGTGTCTTGAAATCACGGGAGAACTCCATATCATGCTCTGTCTGCACTGCTTTCCATACAGTACATTTCCCATCCAAATTACATGTTTATGCAATGTGACTGCCTTTGGACATACACAGCACAAGCTTACCCATAAACCTAAGAAATCTAAGTAGCCGTTTACATTAAACCTCACAATGGCCAGATTTAGATAGGGAGGCATTAATTCTGACACACCAAAAAAAAAGAAGAAGATCCAAATGAAATAAAAAGGCAGCCGTGTCTCACTGCGGTCACGGCCACTTTCATGATGAGATGCAGTGGCATTTCTGCAGTTTAGAAAGTTGTTAAAGGCTGACTCCACCCCCCAAACCCTCTGTCATTTAAATGTAAGTGTTTACCAAAGATGCCCATGGCTCACCGAGCGCCGCTGAGACGGTGACAGTTCAAATGATACGGGCAAAAGAAAGAGAGGCTTTTCCAAACCCAAAGATATAGTGGCTGGACCAATTATAAATCTATTGTAAGGTTGATGAGGATCATCATGTTAATATATTTTTGCGACCCCAAAAAAAAACACATTTCAACTGTTGCTTTATCTCTTTTTTGTGAATTCCTTTTATTTTGAAACAAGCCGATCTGTTTTGGAAATTTAGACTATTCTAATTCTAGCTGTAGATATTTTTCAAAGTAAAATAAAAACATTTAAAGGTTGTATGTGTAACTTTCAGAAAATCCTTGTTATTAATGACACCGGTGGCCATTAAGTGGACAGCAGTCAGCATGTTCGTTGCTTCCACTCCGTAGGCGCGAGCGAGCATGGACCAAAATAGTGACGTGACATCCTGTTGATAAATTTAAAAAATAAATTATCAAATTTAGATTACGCTACTATCTGTAATGTTCCCTATATCTTATTTGGGCCATTGGTTCCACGAACGATCAGCATCCAACACAACACAGAGTCCACATGTGGAATATATTGTGATATTGAGGTTTTAGCAGGCTAATGTAAGCTAATGTTAGCTTGCTTGCTAACGTGAATGAATTGCTAGCTAGTTAATGTAGAAAAATACTGTCTTGACTGGATAACGTCAGCTAATTCATCCAGACTATTAGGGCTGATTTTGGCTAGCTTGAAATTTGCTAGCTTGCCGTTCGTTTCATGACGTTAGCATACTCCATTTCTAGGCTAACTGTCAGCTAGTGTTGCACACTGTTGGCACTGTAGGGGAGCTGAAGAGAGGCAGGGCAGGCTCATAAACACACATAAACGCACATAAACGGATACGATTTTCCTGTAAAAACCTTTGTGCTATGCTAAGCTAACCAGCTGCTGGCTACAGCCATGTACCCAATACATTTGCAGTAGATACCTACCAAAGATGCTTCTGAGATAGTTTGGAAACCGTATGACTATGATATGATTCTACTGATAGACAGTACATGCTGATATTGATCTCTAAAAGCCACAGAGCAATGTCTATGTCACAGTAAACACATACTGTATGACATTTTACATTACAGCTCAGTGTCTAATAGAAAATACGGATGAGGGTGACAAGTATGCACTCATTCAACTGAGAGGATGAAGCAGGAACCAACTTGGAACAAAAACCTCACTTCTGCCTCCTGGTGTCTTAAAGTGGCACTGTGGATCCCTGCAGCAAACCACATACCAGTTTGCAAAAATCACAGAGAGGATATACAGACATAAACCTGCCAGCATCACGATAGGCTTTACGATGTGAAATTTAAAATTGAACACAAATCAAGTCGTTGGCGAGTTCGCTGTACATCAATTTAAACACTGTCTGCTTTCTGTCAAACCCAGAAATTTCATATAACAAAGAAATTTCACAACTTTCCAGCATCCATTAAAAGCTGAGAGTCAAGTTTTTTTACTTCAGTTTTATTATCACTATTAATATTTCTAAAATATTACATTTGCCTGTCTGGAAATGGGCATTGAAACCTAAGAACTGAACTACTGATCCATGTATGTCATGAAAATTTCAATAAAGTTGAGCGTCATTTCAGCTTGAACCAAAACTGACATAAAACAGCTGTCTGGTACGTGTTGTCTACCACAGCCTCACCAATATAGAGTCTTCAGACTGGAGGAAAATATTGTCATTATTTACTTTTCCAGAAAAAGACCCTGTTACGAGCCACATTGTAAATAACATGATGTTTTTAGCCATGAACACCGGTGTCTGTGCAGTTTAAAATGCAAATCCAGGCTAAAAAAGGACACTAAGACACCAAGGTGTTCAACACTTCTGACTCATCTGTCAAAAAGCGCAAACACAGTGATTAATGTGTGACTGAATAAAGGATGTTAACTTCAAGATCTGCGCAACCATGTACCACAAATCTAACGTCAACCGAGATAAATCACAAAACTAACTTGTGTTAAAATATCACCCAAAGCCAATTTCACAGGAATCCCCCTCACTACTGCTCGGCACAGACAGAGAGAACCAGACGAAGAGAGAGGAGACGGGGGGTGGGGGGGGGGGGAGAGAGGGAGGCAGGCCTGTCGCTTCAGAGTGACGGTCCCACCTCTCGGGACATGGCACCCGTCATTAAAGATGACATCAGCGCAGGGAGGGCCTTCCACGCGAGGTAGATCCTCCAGGATGCCGGAGACCGGCTTGGTATAAATACCTGGAGCCCGGTGTCCCTGGGAAGAAGCAGCTGCCTCTCAGACTGACAGACTCCACTACTAAGGATATAACAGCGCAGTGCCTGAACAGCAGCCTTCCGACCCACCCCCCCGCTGTTTCTCTGGAGCGTAGACCTTACCGGTAAGGTGGCTGTTGTTGTTGTTTTTTCTGATTCCAGGTTAGTGCATGGTGGATTCCCAACTGCAAGCCTGGCTTTTACTGAGTGGAGAGTCGCTGTAGCAGCGCTGATGGCGTTATAAGTGTAATGAGCCATGTGCTGTGGCTGTGTTTACACTGGGAGAGATCATAGGTGCCTGTGATGAAGTTTTGTTCTGATTAGTGTTAAAAGCGGGTACTTTTCAAAGCAGCTTCTCACTTCAAGAGAGCAAAACTGATGAAAAAAAGCATGCTCTGGTCGATTTAGAAATGAAACATTCTGATATTTACTTGCAACAACCAATTTTGTTGATTAACTGATGCACCAACACAGGTGCAGCAACACAGGTGCCGTGCCACTCTGAGGTTATCTCACGTGGTTATTTAGTTGCAGATTGTCAACGAGTGCAATTGCGCAGTGATTCTTCTTCTAATAAATGGATTCTGTCTTCGCAGGTTTAGCTTCCCAAGATGGATCTGAGGGTAACAAGCCTTCTCCTCGTCCTCCTAGCTTTGGGTGAGGCGACCCCTGACAGGTACTACCGTGTGGCAAAAGCGAGCAAGTCTGCCTACCCGGTGAAGAGTCAAAGCCCGGTGAAGAGTCAAGGTGAGTCACGCATGTGTCATTTCTCACCAGGGTTGTCCGTGTGAAAATGTTTGTTTTTTTACTATAAGTATACTTATGGCAATCAAGTGTTAAGGCGATATGCTGAAACCTGCACAAATACAGAAGGCTCAAATTAAACTGGGGGATATAAGCAGGAGTAGCATGTACTTGTGTTTAGTATGACAATTAAATTCTACCCGAGACCATTGTTCATTTCAAATCACTGCAGGCTGCACAGTTAAACTGCTCACAGGCTGTATCCACTCCATTAGCCACCCGTCTTTGTTCAACAATTAAAACAAATCGAGACAAATGACCCTGTAAAATAGCACCAGGTGACACTTCAAGCTGCACTTACAGACTTCTAATTGAAACTTGTGATGCTGAAAAGCAAGGGAGCAGGCGTCCATCATGTTTAAAAGAAACCCACAAACAAAATATAGAGTTCCAGCCTACTGCAGTTCACTTTTTGAAAAAATCAATTAATACAATAAAGTCACAGGTCACTGTAACCCACTGTCAAATCCAGTTATGGATATAACTTATACCACTGATCGAAAAATCATGATAAACTGTGTGAACCCTGAAAATATGGCAGGGGAATTTCTTAATTGCAGATTCAAAAGATTGTCCTAGTCAGCACTCTCATCAGCACTACTCCTGACCTTTCTGTAAGATCGTCTCTCATGCAAACTGTGGGCTCATACACATCAGTAAATGAGGCGGCCCAATCGCCGCCCTCCTTCATTAACTGTCATCAGGGTGCACACCCAGCAGGTCCAGTGCGGCGTCTCATTGGCTTACAGCAGGAGGCTGTGGTTGAACTGGCTGAACTGCTGTGAACGTCTATAACTGCATACAACTGTGATGTGGAGTATAGCTGTAAAAGAGCACTTGTGCTCTGGATAAATAAAAGGTTAAAGAAGGAAGCAGTTTTGCACGTGTCATAAAAAAACAAATACAAAGCAGTGGTCATGGTGTAGCTGCCAGGATGATGCATAACGCTGTCTTCAAATTCTGCTTTTGACACTTGAGGATTTATTTCTCCAGTTTGGTTTCTGAAGAGGTTCTGATGTGGTTTGACTGCATGGCTCAGCATTGAAATAGAACAGAAAGTCGACAATAAGAGCATAAAATCAGACAAATCTTCAAAGCAGATGTTGTTACCACGTTGCGGGCACGCCCTAACAAACTGCTTTGTGGTATTAAATTTGCGCCACGTAATTAGAAAGAAAAAACACGACACAGACTGCAGAGAAACGCAGTTCAAACAGTCAATCCAACAAACAAACCACGGCAAGTTTACAGCAGAGCCTCCGACTAAAGGGGGATGTTTATTGAAGGCAACACAATGAAGAATGGATATAGTTTGAGCATAGTAGTGCTTTGCTGTGTTAAGCTACTGTGGCCAGTATCATCACCTCCTGTTTGTGGTGTTTCTGGCTGCCAAAAAAGTCCACTTCTGGCACAAATGTCCTCTGTGGGGTTTCAGGCACCTCCTTATGTGGCTTGAAAATGACAGCCTTGTCGAGGCATTTTGTACTTGAAACATTTCGAAAGAGAGATCAACACTATTGGCTTTGATTCTTTGACATGTCGTACATTTTGGCAATAGCACATCCAGAATTATTATAAAAGGAATGCAGTGTGATAGAAATTATTCTCAGAGATTCATATTTGAGATTTCCTTCAAAAATAAAATAAATGTATGATGAACAACTTAAGAGAGAAAACAAATGGGCTAAGGCACCAGGAGTTTCCTGGAGGCTGGCCGGGCAACTTTGTTGCAAGCTATTCCTGATCTCTCCGTCCCCTCATTTCGTGTCATCTCTCCACTGTCAAACATCAAAATAAAACAATAAAAAAATAAACAGAAGGGAAAAAACAATGTCTCTACGGCCACATGTTGGTTTTATAAGGTGGGGTTATTCTTTTGTTGACTTTTGTGATAAATATAGATTAGGGAGAAAAATCCAGTAAAATAACAAACTCTCGTTATACACCAATTTGGCCTTGCCCATAAACTCTACATTATGTGGCAGGAAATGCATCGAGGTGATGTTGACAACTTGCAGACCACTAACTATACATTCAAGGCCATGAGCAGTGCAGAAAATTAAGGGGTGCAGTATATTGTGGGTAACTTAAACAAGAATTCACAGGAGCTGGTGTGTTGGCTCTCATGCCAACAGACGTAAGTAAGCTTTGTGAGAACATCACCTCAGACCAGTGGTGCTGTGAAGACTATCTTGGGAAAAAGGAGGGCTGTCCCCACAACCCACCCTACAATCATAGGGAGTAGTGTTTTATACCAGGTTGCGATCATATGGAGAAGAATCTTACGTAATGCATTGAAAAGGCCCAAGATAGCCATTTCTTGATCATAATATACATCACATTTTTTTATTTCCTTGGAAAATTGTTGTGGGCTTGTATGTGTATTTTATTTTATATTTTCACCTACAACATGGGGAATACTGGGTCGTACCACTTTAAGTAACAGTTCACTTAATCCAGGGGTCTCAAACTCATTTTCACTCCGGGCCACATCAGCATCATGGTCGCCCACAAAGGGCCGGTTGTAAATGTAACTACTCGTAACATATTGTTAAATAACTCTCTGCATTTGATTATTGTTTATTGAAGTGTAAACATATTGTACATGCAGTTATATAAATGTAAAAATATAGTTAAGCACATTTCTGTTATTATAACTTAAATCCTTTTAATTTAGGGTTAAGAAACCCACATTACTCTATCAAAGATCAAACTTTTAAAGAAAATAGCAAAGACAAATATCAAACACAAGTTATTACAATAACTTTGTTCGATGCTTAAAATCCTTTCAAGGGTGCGTTTGCACAATCCCACGTGAAGTATTTCTTGTGTTTTAAAGCCACGTTTAAAGTAGTCTTCAATGTAGGCCTACTCACAATACATTTCCATGTCAAATGTACAGTAACCAGCCAAAGAGCTGCTTCTATGACTGTGTGTTTAAGTATCTCATAATTATGACTTTCTATTTCATAATTTTGACTTTCAATCTCATCATTTTGACTTTCTATCATAATTTTGACTTTCTATCTCAGAATTATGACTTTCTATCATAGTTATGACTTTCTATCTCATAATTTCGACTATGGGGATATTTTTATTATCAAGTCTGCTGGCGGATTCGCGGGCCACATAAAATGATGTGGCGGGCCGGATTCGGCCCGCGAGCCAGGAGTTTGAGACCCCTGCCTTAATCCATTTATAAACATCAAACTTAACCAAATTGATCAAAGAAAAATACATGACACGCTACGACTTGTGTTGTATATAAAATCGGAGTAATTATATCACGTGTCTGTATTTATGTATTCCCTAGCTGTTACAGGCCACCCAGGTCCTCCAGGTCCTCCAGGTGAGGAAGGACCAATGGGGCCATCTGGACCTCCTGGAACGAGTGGTATAGGACATACTGGACAACAAGGCCCTGCAGGTCCTCCCGGGCCCCCTGGCTACTCTCAAGCTGGTAAACCCGGTTCCCCAGGTGGCCATGGAAAACCAGGTAGCTCTGGCATCCCTGGTCATAAAGGCGAACCTGGCGCAACTGGACCAATGGGTGCCAGAGGTGCACCTGGTCCGTATGGATCACCTGGACCTGCTGGAATTTCTTCAAGTGGAAAACCTGGACCATCTGGCTTCCCTGGGTCAGTGGGACAAAGAGGCGAGGCTGGTTTGAAGGGACATCCTGGTATTCCTGGTCTTCCTGGGACCAAAGGAGAAAGAGGCATTGGAGTTCCTGGGGTTCAAGGACATCAAGGCGCAGTTGGACCAATGGGCCCATCTGGAATGCCTGGCAAATCTGGAGTTGGTATGCCTGGTGCCACTGGCTATCCCGGAGAACCTGGCAAGGGTGGTGTGCCAGGAAGAGATGGCGCTCCTGGGTCAATGGGTATGACAGGACCAAAGGGTCACACTGGGGCTCCAGGTATAGGAGCATCAGGGAAACCAGGCCAGAATGGTAGCCCAGGTATGCCTGGACCTATGGGTTCTAAAGGTCCACATGGTCCAGCTGGTCAGCCAGGCTCCCCTGGCATGCCAGGTGTTGGCAAATCAGGCGAAACTGGAATACCTGGTAGTAGAGGAGCCACCGGTACTCCAGGAACCACTGGTCAGAAAGGAGAGCCAGGCCCAACTGGTTTTACTGGTCAGCCAGGTGCTTCTGGTCCTAATGGCCAAGCTGGTCCACAGGGTGCAAGAGGATTTCAGGGTGAGGGAGGCCCACAAGGACCCAAAGGCGACACTGGTATGGTAGGCACGCCAGGCCCAAGGGGAACCAAGGGTGAACAGGGAGCTCAAGGTTTCACTGGAAAACCAGGTTCCCCAGGGGCAGTAAGTGCTCCAGGAGCTCCAGGGCATAATGGTCCTCAAGGTCAAAAGGGTGTACAAGGCCATGCTGGTCCCTCAGGAATCCCAGGTGCAAATGGTGCCCCAGGACTCAAAGGAAACACAGGCCACTCAGGAGGACCAGGAAAAAGTGGTGAGAACGGAAGGCCAGGATCTATGGGACCAGTTGGGCCACCCGGGCCATCAGGTCCCTCTGGACTTCAGGGCCATCCAGGTCTTCCAGGCTCACCTGGCCCAGCTGGCTTGACAGCTAAGGGAATTTCTGGTCCTGAGGGTCCACCTGGAATTCCTGGTGCCAGAGGTCAAGATGGTCACCCAGGGCCTGCCGGTCCTCCTGGTCCTCCTGGCCAACCAGGAGAGATGGTCTACCACGATGAGAAGAGCATGCCAATCAAGTCCCACGAGGTTATGATGTCTCATGAGATGGTGAAGGCCCCCATGTCTGCCTTCAGTGCTGTGCTGACCAGAGCCTACCCACCAGCTGCAACCCCTATTCAGTTCAACCAGGTTCTGTACAATGGGGAGCACCATTATGATGATCACAGTGGTGTGTTTACCTGCCAGATCCCAGGCCTCTACTATTTCAGCTATCACGTGCACGTCAATGGTGCCAATGCACTGGTGGCCCTCTACAAAAACGAGGAGCCAGTTATGTTCACCTATGATGAGTACAACAAAGGCTTCCTGGATCAGATGTCAGGCAGTACTGTTCTTATGTTGGATGGCGGTGACAGAGTCTATGTCCAGGTCCCCGATGAGGAGAGTAATGGCATATTTGCAGCAGATAATGTTCACTGCGCATTCTCTGGGTTCTTGATTGCCTCAACGTGATTTCACGAATTCAAAAAAAAACTCAAAACCATACGAAACATTGAACTACTACTAAATTCCAAATTTAGATTGTAGATTGAAACAATATATGGTTGTAAGTTTAACAAGTTTAACTGCCATTCAAATCTTTACAATAATAAGTAAACATTTTTAAATATATGGTCCAAATTCCCCCCTTCACCGTGTGTGTCTTTGTAGTTCTAAGAAACATGAAACAATATTGGAAGGAATCTTAAGTGGTGCTTTACAACTGCCTGTAACATTTACAGCACGTCTTTTATTTGTGTTTGATTTTATTAATGTCTGTTGTTTAAGAATTTTTCTGTAATATACAAACACAAAACACACTAAACTGTTATCTCTAATACTCATGCATTATATGTTATTAGAGATCAGTACATTCTCACAAGCACTGTGATCAGCAAAACACAGATTGAGAAATTAAAACTGCATTTTTTTTTTTTTCAAAACAGCTATGTCCCATTGGATGTGTTAAGTTATGTACCACTTACTGACCAAAACACAGAATAAAACTTATAGTTTGAAAAAGAAAAATATCCCGTGTGTTGTGTGTTGTTTTTATTCACAGTATGGGTCCTTGACAAGAAGACATAGAAATAAGCAATATACTGTGCTGCTTTGAAGTAAAAGGTGTACCTTTGAATGCAGATGTGTTGTAATTGTGATCGATGGCAGCAACCATGTCTTTCCAAAAGTCGGAATTCACCTCATTTCCTCGCTGTTTTGCAAAAACACAAAAGTTACAATTTAATACGTTTGTCCAATTCCACTATTAATTTGAAAACAAACCACATAAAATATTACCTTGCGTAACATGTCCACAACTCTTCCACAGAGGAGAGCCCCAGGTAGATCAAAGTAGTTGTCATAGAAATAGTATTTTGCTGCAAAGACCAAAACAAAAGTCAATGAAATCTAGCAACAGCTGATGTGAAGAAATCCCAAACATACAGACACTTCAGCCTACTTAAGAGCCGACAGCATATAGCTGTTAGGTAATAAAGACCGATGTAAACATCATACCAGATCTTGTGAAGGAGGTATTGAGGCTGTTGAAGTGCTTCCACTCCCTCTTTGGACCATAATGTTTGATGATGTCTTCTGTGCTGAGGTCATTGGATCCATGTGTAGCTCTAATCAACCAAGAGATAAAAGGTTTCTATTATCCCACTTTAAAGATCAGTAAAAGCAACGACGACGAGGACAAAAGAGGCAGATCTGATATGCTTCATGCACCAAAGAGTGTACCGCAAGACAGTTCCATCCTCAGCCAGCTTCACAAGGTTTCCATCCTCCAGATCCACCACCAGTCCTTTAAAACTGGACACAAAATGATGCATGTTAGTAATACAGTATATAAAGACAGCAATCTAGATCATCACTGACACATTTTGACTCAAAGTACTTGCAACAAGTCTAGCGATCCTGAATTATCCAATTTGTTTCTTTTTGTTGTAAATAGTAGCTACCTACAGCTCTTTGCCTTTAAAATCCTTCTTTGTTTGAACTTCTCACAACTCCTTTCCCTCACAAAGACCATAACCTGTGGTCCGAGAAGGGTCACGAGATGGCATTGCTTCATTGCAAAGGGTCACGAGCCAAAAAGGTTGGGAACCGATGGACCATAAAGTAGGTCCTGAATGTGTTCAGCCTAGCTTAGCACAAGAGTATGACTGAAGTAAGCACACCGGAACATCGACACTTAATGACAAGCAGAATATTACTAGAAATACACGGACAAGACAAGCCTTGTGTGTGACTTGAATAGATGCCAAATAATGTAATTGTTAATATACACATAATCATTGATTTATGATAATAATCACTAGCGCTATGCCAATAAATCAGTCAGGCTGATATTTGGGCCAATATTAGCTCATTGCAGATATATCAATATTGATGTATATGTTGCCCAATAAGTAACAAGAAATTGCAGTACAGAACTGCCAAAGTCTGTTTTAGGAACAGTGACTCCATTACATATGACAAGTTGGCAAGAGTCACAAAAAATTGTTTGTTTATGTTATGTGCTTATGTTAACAAAAATGCACAATCTGCTAATATATCATTATCAACTCCCGAATATCTAGATCAGTACTGGCCTCAACAAAACAGTATTTGTCAGATTGAGTCTTTAAGTTACTGTGAGGAACTTTTAACTGGTTATAAAACAGTCTCAATACAATACTGATGCCTCTTTATGACTTCATTCTTAATGATTGTCATTGGTGCCATCGGGTCGGATTTCGCGCGAAAATAAAAAAAGACGAAATCACGCAGTGTCACCAAACAACTGTTCAGACTGCTCAGACTCTACGAGGCCTCCGGCAGCAACCAGCCCACAACGGACTGCCCCAGATCCGGCTTCGCTGGGAGCCGACACCACGGGGGAACCAGAACACAGTCTGTGCGGGGGCAGACTGTCAGACCCTGCTGCAATACAATCTGACATTTTCTAAAGGGACTCACCAACACCTTTGTCCACAGGGACCGCCCAAAATCAACACAAAATCCAAGTTCCTTGTAGTAGCTTTAAAATGCTGTATGCTTTGTTTTATGTGTGCTTACAATACCTAATCTGATTTACTTGGATTTGGGTTGGGTAGAAACTAGGAGAGGCCATACGTATTAGCTGAATGCAGACTTATCACTCCTAAAACATAAACAGGCAGGTCACTATGCTACATGTAAAGAAGGAGGAACTGCTACTGTTGCCGACTCACCAGAAATCCCAGGTAGCAGGGGTTAGGTTCAGCAGGTCCTTGTCATAGCCTTTATGCTCCACCAGATACCTGGCAAAGCTCTCATAGATCAGCTGCAAAAAACAAAGAGGAAATAACACCATCACTGGTAAGAACGAGCAGCACAATCACATTGTGAATCACAACAATGGAATGTAACTATCTGCCACTGACTGTCAAGAATAAAAAGGTTTTTCCACCAACTAAACACAGCACGGGGTGATTTATCTGGTTTAAGACGTGACAGACGGTGAAAACTTTCCTTTCAGCTCACTAATGTCTTGACACTCAGTAGTTTTTGTTTATTCATTTTATTTTTTTGTACAAGTTGTAAACACACAACCTGGAAACCCTAACGATGAGCTAAAAAGCTCCACAGGGCCGAGAGTAACTACTCAGTAGGCTGTTAATTAACTGTGTCAAGGGGCACCTTTGACATCAATAAGTAATTTAATCCAATAACAAAATTAATGATTATAAAATGTATGGCAGAATTATTGCAGTTTAATCAAGTTATTTAAGTTGTTCATAGGTAATTAATTACTGGAAAGTTGGCGTAGTAATATTCATTATGCAATATGCATTGGTCTATAATACACACTGGATTTAAAGAGAAATCTTTTGCATGGCTGTGTCTGTTTCGGGACAGGTTTTTTTAATTAAATCAGCCATTTAGAAAAGATATAAATCCTATCAGTGGTAGTCAATGGAGGACTTCTTTATTGGGCAACCCCTTTAGCGTACCCTATCCTGGGCCACTGCACTGACAGGGGGGACATATACATGTGACATGCATGGGACAAGAGAGAGAGAGCATAAATGAACTGCAGGCCTGATGGACCAGGCCATAACGATGGGCTGGGAACTCAACAGTCGTTTAGGTTTTGTTGTCGCTCGGTGTCATAGAATCCAGCTGCGAGTCTTGCGGTGATTTGACTGCAGCTTCTAACAGCAGCATGCATGCATTGTGATGCGAGAAGATGCTGTTGCCGACGGGCACCGGGGAGGATTTAAAGACATGTATGATGATCACCACCGCCGACGTTCAACCTGTGAGTCACGCCGAGCGACTGCAGCATCACCTCACAACACATCCGTCTCAATTCAACCACAAATAAAACCACACCGAAAGGGCTTCTTTTGTTTCAATACAATGCATTCGTGCAGGGGAAACCCGAATTGGCAAGTGACCGTAGAGCGTATTGACGGCTGCGTGCTATTTTTAATACAAATGTGTTGCGGATCGAAGCGTCACGGCCACCGTATGATTATCGGTGCTAGCTGCACGCGCTACACGCACGCACGCGCGCACACACACACACACACACACACACACTCACCCTGGAGGTCTCCTTCAGATGGTAGCGGCAGAGCGTGTGGTCCAGGTCGAAGCCGATAACATCACTGTCCGACAGGCTGAAGTATTCGCTCATGGTAGCAGACGTTGGGGGAAACGCAGGAGAAGCGCTCCGGGAGCCGAACGATACCGCACACACATCAACTTGTGCACAGCAACACAACAACACTAACGTGTCAATGTCACTAGCTGACTGCGGCTCTGCACACGCGCTGCTCAGCCTTCGCTTGCGGTACCGCGAAAAACGAAATGAAACCGAAACCACTTCTGAAAACGCGAATCGATTATCGATGAACGGTTAACGTCAATAAGTTGCCCATATGAAAAAACAGAAGTTAAACTCCTGTGCGCCAGAAGAAGGCGGTAGAGAGGCGAGTGCGAGAGTGTGCAGCGCTTCCGGGTGTGGCGCGAACCCGTAACGCACGGTGTATGTGCGCAACATTTATTTTAAAAGCGCATGGAATTACGCACGGCTGGAAAAAAGGAACTGCTCCGAGGCCATGGGGCAAATACAAGTGGCTAGACCCCCATGAATGTATAAGAGCCATAGTAACATTCATACACACATTTAACATTTGACAAATATTATTATTGTGACGGCATTTGAACTCTGTGGTGGCCCTGCAATGCAAAATATATCAATCTTATAGAAAAAAATTAACCACAAATAAAAATAGTACAAATAAAAAAGCATAAAATGAGCAATGAGGAAATTAAACTCAACCAAAGATGTGCAATGCACATTTTGGAGACTGAAGCCTATTTTTCCTGATCCTGAAGTCAGGACTTTTTCACATATCTAATCATTTACTGTGTATCTGTGACAAAGATTGAGAGTGTGGACTAAAACCCTGAAAGGCCAAATCTACACCATATTCCCAAACATTACCTCCGTCTGTCTTTGGTAAAGAGACTTTAGTAAAGAAACAGACTTTAAGACATTATTTTCTCTCAAATCAATGTGATTTTGTGTTTTGTATCTTACAATGGTTTTGAATATAAATGGGGATTGTCACAGCAATAAAAACTAGTGTCAGCATGACTCCTATTCAGCATCATCTGATTTCATATAGCATACACTGATGGCTCAGGGTGAACTACTCTCAAAAACATATGCCACAGATGTTCAAATTGAATCATTTAAATCCATTTTTGGGGTTTGTGCCAGTGCAAGGTTTGGATATCTGTGATCTGTATAGCAAAGACACAGAAGAAATGAGTGCATGTCTTAAGTTTTTTTATGTATTTGTTTATTTTTTGCATAGCTTTAGTTGAGAGTTGGTTCAGGTAAACAAGTGGTAGAGGTTTAAAATGGTGCTGTATCAAAATGAGCACATGTTTAGCTGAACTGCTGTCTCATTTAGCATTAAGAAAATTGTAAAACAGTATGGAAGCCACCCTTGGCTTAAGAGGTACATGGGCTTAGTATTCTCATAACAACTAAATTATCTTGTGCAAAAAAAAAAAAATGTTTCAGATTTTTCAAGTCCACTTTCCGAGCAGCTGCTTGAAAATAAAAGTAAAATTGTTTGGATGCATCTGTAATTTTTTGCTTTGTATTTTACTTTTGTGATATATTTACATACAGCTTTCGTTAACTGGACACTTGGCTCACCTGTCTACATTACCGATAAAAACAAAATTGCTTCTATGGACTTATTATGGTAGTTAATACAGTGTTGGTATGAAATCCCCCTTTCAGTTTGTCAGAATAACAATTTTTCCTTTTCTAAATATTCATATTTCAATCAAGTCAGACTTTTTTCTTTGAAGAAAGTTCACTCCAGTCCAAAATATTTTACTGTAGACTGAAAATGGACAGTTTTAGGTTTTTTTTACAGTAGAATTAAAACCATTTTATTTAGACAAAGACATTTCACTGAGTAACATCTCTGGATTTCCTTAGAAGAAAATACAAAAACAAATTGACCGCAGCACTAAAACATACACAGTTCCGGGTCACGTGTTTTCTTTCTTGGTTCGCGTGCCATCATCGGGACGTTTTGAGGTTCGGTTCGAGAACGTGTTCGCTCGTTCTGAAATCCAGTCAGTGTTCATCCAGCCACTCATAGCGACATACCTACAAACGTTTAACTGCGATTTACACAAATAAATAATTCATTTCCAAATAAACAAGCGTTTTATTGAAGCGACGATGTCTCGGTAAGTACTTATGTCGTGTTTATTTCTTGTTTTTTCACAGATTTAACCTAAACTAATGTGTATGTCTTCTGTAATCTCCTGTCTTTTTAGATTGCAATAACTTGTGATTTAGTCAATGTTTTGAGCTGGTATTGATACATAGCATATGATAATAGTCATGGATACACCTTTTATTATTATTATGGCTGTTGTATGGTATTACACTAATATGCAAATGTCCCGTTTCAGTCCAATTAAGAGCAAAACTGCCCCAATCCCAGCCACCCAGCACTGGTACGGGATGTGCCCTCCCATCAGCGAGGCTCTGCCCGCAGAGGAAGACCTGATCCGGACCAAACAGCTGATCGATATTCTGAAATCATGTGATGTGTTTGCGGACGACCCGGAGCTGCAACACCGGTATGATCCATCTTCTCCGTTACTTTTATATTGTAATTATTCGGCTACAGCTTGTAGGGATTATAGTAATTTGTGCATTTTTGTGACCTTTTTACTGAACTGAATGAAGTGAATTAAAGTGGAAGGGTGTGCTTTTATTCAGAGAAAAGACAACATTGGAACATGCTGTTTATGTTTTATTTTGCAGAGAGAAAGTTGTGAAACAGCTGGAGTCACTTTTTAGGGAGTGGCTCACGGAAATGTGTGAAGAACTGGTAAGACGTCTATATTTATCCATATTGTTGTTGAACAAATAATTCCACATATGACACAGGAAACATGTTTTTGCATGGATGATACATTTATAATTTGACTTTTTTGGTTTTAGAACATACCTGATTATGCAACAGAAAAGGTTGGAGGCAAGATCTTCACATTCGGATTCTATCTTCTGGGGGTCGACTCCAAAGGTAATCAGCAGTTTCTGTCCTCAACTGTAGGAGCATGTGAGGACTGTGGCACAAGTTGTACACGGTGAAGTTAACGGCTCAGATCATTTAGATGTAGACTTTCCTCTCATGTGAATCTGTGCTGTTCTGACAGGCGCTGATATCGACGCCCTCTGTGTTGGACCCGGATTCCTCAAGAGGAACCACTTCTTCACCTCCTTCTTTGAGAAGCTGAGAGCTCAGAAGGAGGTCAAAGACATACGGGTGAGTCCATAATCTAATTTATTGCTGTTGCTATTTATGTATTGATGAATTAAGTCAAAGAGCATTTTCCTCCCTGTTGTTAGTGACTCACGATATTGTTGTCTTTAGGCCGTTGAAGATGCTTTTGTCCCCGTCATCAAAATGTCTTATGAGGGAATTGAGGTAAGAGAAAAAAAGTGAAAACTCTACTGTCTGCAGTGTCCCTCTATTCCAGATTTGTTTGCATGTGTTTTAATCATTGTTCTGGCGTTCCTGTTATTTCCTAGATCGACTTACTCTTTGCTGGAGTGCGCCGCAAATGTGTCCCCGACGATATTAATCTTCTCAACAGCATCTGGCTGAAGGACGCCGATGTAAAATGCGTCAGGAGTCTCAATAGTGAGCATCGGATCAAAGAACACTACTGCAGCGTTAGCATCTGACAGCTGAACTCGTACTGTGTGTAGCTGTTTCTTTATCTTTTTCCTCATTGTGTTGTTTGTAGGCTACAGAGTTACAGAAGAGATCCTGAGGTCTGTGCCAAATGTCGACAACTTTAAACTGGCTTTGAGAGCCGTCAAGCTGTGGGCCAAACGTGAGTTCAACACACACTCAACTAGTTCAGCACGCTGGTCACTCGAGCGACTGTTAATACAACCCAATTGGTGTGCGAATTCGAGCAGGCTGTTAACATTAGGTAATATTGTGCACTGGGAGTCTTAACTTTTATTTCTCGCCCTCTTATTTCTCTTCAGGTCGAAACATTTACTCCAACGTGCTGGGCTTCTTGGGAGGTGTGTCATGGGCCATACTGGTAGCCAGAATCTGCCAAGTTTACCCAAACGCTACAGCGTCCACCATTGTCATCAAATTTTTTAAAGTTTACAACATGTGGTGAGTTCTCCAGTTTCTAAATATGAAAACAAAACATTGAATTGGGTTGACTAAGAGTCACTTGGCACTGAGATCCACTGTAGGGTCACCTTACGAGACCATGAGTGGATCTAGTGAATGCCGACTGCCTATTTGAGCTTGTCAAACAATATGCAGTTTGTGAGCACACCCTTTGATGTGCAGTCAGTTTAATATTAACTGGAACAACTTAAAATGCACGTTAGAGCAAATCTTTAGATGTTTTTACTTCCTTCCAGTCTGAAAATGTAGCTGCGCGTGAATGCTTTGTAAAAGTTGCAGATGAAAATCTCGTCTTTTTGTTTCAGGGTGTGGCCAGTCCCGATAGAGTTGAAGAGTCCGGAGAACTGCTGCTTCGACCTTCCTGTTTGGGATTCCAGGGTAAGGCCTCGGCAGGATTTATATCAGGATTTTTATGCTGTAATTATAGAACCATGTCAGTCAAAACGTTATTGAATTTGCTCAAAAGCACATGAGTAAAAAAAGTGTTCTTCTGCATTTCCAGATTAATCCAAGTGACCGCAGCCACTTGATGCCTATCATCACCCCAACGTACCCGCAGCAGAACACGGCCTTCAACGTGTCCCGCTCCACCTTTGCCGTCATGATGGAGGAGATCCAACGAGGTATGCGATCACTCAGGCGACATCCATCAAATCCTCTCAGTGCACCGACAACACTTTGCTCTAATGCTTAGAATACCAATAAAACTTAGACTATGACAATTCTGTGCACAAAGATGTGATTTAGTTTCACTCCGACTTTAACAAGCTTTCCCTTCGTCATTCACAGGCTACGCCATCACTGAGGATATACAGAAGAAGAAAGCTGACTGGTCCAAACTGTTTGAAACGCCAGACTTTTTACAGAAGTACCAGTATGTATTAAGCTGCCCAAAGATGAAAATGTGGATTGTCCTCCACAGAATACACTCAGATATATGGCACTTTATAAAATATGTTTGTAATTGATATTTTTTAATATATATGCATATATTTTGAGCCACCTTAATGTCTTAAATAGCTGTTTATCTGATGTTTTATGTTTATTTTCTAAATGAAGATATGTATGTAAAAAAAAGATAACCCTGTGAAAATTCTCCTGCACTCCCGTACCCTGTTTTGTATCATGCTCAAAAACCAAATGATTGAGTTCACACGTTGCAGTATTTATGTTCTGTACCGCATGTCTTATGTAGACCTGAATCCATTAGTTCATGTATATAATGCGTGAATTGGTATTTAAATTACTTTTTCTGTGGTCAATAAGCTGCTTCTTTGTACATAACATAATGTAACTGATATGCTTTTGTTGTTGTAACTTAACTTGACTGTTAAATGCCTATTGTGTAATGAATGTGCAAAACGGATGTTTGCAATTTGCTTTTATTATTGTCGCTGTTATTTTTATTTGTTATTGTGCCACTGATATGAATTCTTACTTGGTATTAGTTGTCGAATGCCAGTTTCTTAATGAGGGTGCCGGCGGACTTTAGTTGTGTTCTGTTATTAACTGAAAATGTTGACAGAGTTTTGTTCCAGTAGACGTTTTTCTCTGTGTGGATTTATGGATTTTAATTTAACCTTTAAACCCTCAGTAAGGCGTACTGGACTTAAACTTAAGAGTTGAATGCTGATTGTTTTCCCGATGCACAGACCAGGTTTGGCTGTTTGCTGTTATTAATTCAGAATATGGACTGAAACTTGTTCAGTGGATTTAAGAAGCTTCTTAATGTCTTCTGTCTGACTTCAATTTGTTGTTCCAGGAGTTTCTGTTATTTGTATTGCATTATTGTATCCTCCTGTTTTAATAAATCAGTCGTCTGTTCTGATCTCTCTTTTTATTTTTACTTTCAACTCTTTATAATCCTTTGTATTACACGATTCTTCAGCGGTAGGAAGGTCAGAACAGACAGTGTCCATGATTTGGCTGATGATGTAGAAACCAGCTTGAGTAAGAAGTTGTGTTGTTTAAATTCTACATGAAATGCACGAAGCAGATTCAGTACAGGAGCCATGTACCTTAAGAGAGTCGGGAGAGGTTTTGTCTTTTAATATGATGAAGATCTTTGTTTAGACATTGTGCTGCAGCTTGATCTGCTTTAAACATTGATCACAGATTCCACTATTGGTAAAACAGGAAATAAGATGAATGTATTAAGATGCCGGCCTGTGTAAAATGGCTCAATGCTGTGACGTCTGTTGCTATCGTTCTGTCTCTTTTGTTTCTAGGCATTTTGTCCTGTTGCATGCTTCTTCAGCCACAGAGAAGCAGCATCTCGAATGGTGAGTACATGGAGCAAAGAAAATGAGAAGCCAAGTTCAAGGAAAACTTTGAGCGACGTCGGGATTTTTGTCTGCAAACTCAACGGTTTTAATATTCTATTTCCACCTGCTGTAGTGCTTTCTGAAAATGATGTTTTGTTCACTCTTGTCAGGGTTGGCCTGGTTGAGTCTAACATCCGACTCCTGTTAGGAAATCTGGAAAGAAGCATCCATGTCAACCTGGCTCACATTAACCTCCAGTCCTTCTCTGGACCCAGCAAGCTCAATGCCAAGTAAGGGCACGTGACTTTAGGTTATATTTTAATCATGGCGGGAAGTTTTCTTGAGTATTAGCCCTTAAGAGAATAATGTTACTTTCTCATTTCTATTAACTCATAACTGTTTTGTGTTTTCGTGCTATATATTTACTCTCAGTTTGCAGTATTGGAACAGTTAGTTAGATGTGTTCACTGTATCTGTTTCAGAGAGGGAAAGAGCACAAAGTGGCTGATTGGACTGGCCGTTAACACGGAGGAGTATAAAAACCTAAAAAAAGACCTGACCACCCCCCTCATGTGCTTCACTGAGACAGGTATGTTTTTTTAAATTTATCTTAATTCAATAGAAATAAAGCAACGTTTTGTGTTATTCTAAATCACATTTGTATCATTTGCTGTTGCAGTCTACAGTCTGGCAGAGAGCTGTAAGATGTACAAAGAGGGGATGACCGTATCAGCCACATACCTGGCCAAGGACAACCTCTGGTGGCAGATGCCCGGCGGACAGTACAAAAGAGCTTTTGTTCCAAAACCAAAGCCCACAGTGAGCCGTCAAATCCCTGCCACCGCACCAGCTGGTCCCACAGCAGCAGGCCAACCAGCCGCTAAGATAAAAGGCTGCTGGCAACCGGAGGTGTCAGCCAAGACGTTCAAAGCTGACACGGTACGACAAACTATCCCAGGCTTTATTGACTAGTTTCAGATGTGAACATGTCTATAATTTTAAAGGATTTATAAAAAAAATGTGTTTTTCTTGCATTCTTGCCAAGAGTTAGATGAGAAGAATGTGTGTGGTAAATGTCAAACTATATGGTTGTCTTATCTTATCTCATTTGCTAAATCTGTACAAAAACTACATTTGTAAAAATGACAAGTTGTTTATGTGCTGGACTATTTCTTTAACATGCCTAGTAGTTGTGGTAAAATGTAATTCAAAAAGAATTGCAACAACCAGGCCCATGTTAAAACAAAACAAAGAAACATTTTCCTCATTCTCCACAGGAATCGGCATCTGTGGCTCACTGCTCCACGTCCATCCAACCGGCTGCAACCTCTACTACACAGGACAGAAAGAGAGCTCGTTCTCCTCACCCAGAGACTTCATCCAAGAGGTTCAGATCTGGTGAGGAGCCACCCAAAGGCCCCTGCTCTGAGTCCTCAGGTGTCTCACTCAGTGTGAGTCCGTCTCAAAGTGTGAGCCGGCCGAGCACCAAGAGACCCCGCGCTCCTGAGCCCGAGACAACAAGCAAGAGAGTCAAAATTGACCTGGTATGTTAAAACTATCTTCCAAATGTGTCCTGTGACGTTGACATATGAAGCCATATTCATATTTAGTGACTTACCTCACCATCTGTTCCCTCTCAGAATCCGCCCCCTGTCGAGCTGTCGGACCTGCCTCCCGTCCTCACCAGGCCGGCTGCAGCTGTAAAACGGGCCATCAGGATTCAACTCGTCAGGTACGCACACAGACTGAAGAACAGAAACCTTTCCTTAAAGTGTCTAAAGCCTCGTTCTACATCATATAGTCCTCCATGACACATGTACATAAGATCCTAGTTCTACATCATATA